TTCAGCATTTTTAAATCTTTATTTTTTTAAACAGATTATTTCTTAAACAATCTGTTTCCATTATGTTGCAGTTTCCTAAATATGCCCACGAAAGTGCTCGCTGAATGACTCACAGTTGTGTTTTCGTGCCTGAATAGGCTAAGAGCCTTTTCATATTGAGCTATGGTTATTAACCTTTTATCACACTGTGTGTGACTTCCTTTGCCGTACAAAAAGTTTATCCTACCACTGAAGGTGACTCTGATCCCTGAACAATAGTGATTTTGAATTTCGTAGTTGTGCTGTCATATCCTGCTATGGCAACAGAAAACACCTTTGAGTGAAATTAGCAATAAGGTTACTGCAGTTGGGAAGCCTTGAAAACGAATGCAGTGTGCTAAAGGTTAAGTTATGCTTGTGGACAACTGATACTATACTGACGTTAATTCTCACCGTGTGTCCCACGCTTCTATATTGTAACTGACTAAATCAAATTATAAAATATTAGAAATTTTGTCTATTTGTTTCGCCATCCATTTACTCAAACTCACTAAGTATGTTATTCGTTTTTTTCTTTCCATATATATATATATATATATATATATATATATATATATATATATATATATATATATTGAAAATATTATATAGATAAATGAATTGACTCCTGTGTAGGGTCGTTGTCACCGGTCCCTAGGTTGGGCTGAAAGCATCCTATCACGGCCTCTTTTACCCAGTGTCACCGACGAGTCAACAACGGACATATTTAACTCCGTAAAACTCAACCAAAATGGTGTCCGAAAATGGAGCGAACAAGAATACAACATAGGAACGAGGTTGTACCAACAGTTGCAGCAAAGCATCCGAAAACTGAATCCTTCTTCAACCTAAAGACGAATATATTCCTTCCGACGTTGCAACAAAAATGAGAACTGTTAACCGAACGAACTTTATTGCCACCAATTAAGTCCTCGCAAAAACCACTGTTTTTTTTTGGGGGGGGGGTGCAACGATTTTTTTAAACCCAATTTTTCTATCTTCCCTTTTATTTCTTCCTCTTTCTGATATAAAGCCTTTCTTTTTTTCCTACACAAGTTTGGTGTTGTCCTGTTTTCTCTCGCCGTGTCGCGTCAATGCTCTTTTTACCCTTATTTTCTACAGAGAAAAGAAAATCCGTGGGTAAATAATTCAAGTAGATCCTATTAATATAAAATATTAAAACTGATCCGCAAAAGAGAGCTCAAAAGAATTGTTATTATAGACCATATGAGTGAATTACAATTAATGAGATTCAAACAATTTACCTCATACAGATGATTATTTCGTCCATGGGAAAGAAGTTTTTCCCTGGACTTATCAATATAAATACATTTACTAAAATGAATGAATTCCCACGTTTCTTCACAGGAAATTTGAAAGGCAAAGGATGGAAAAAAGAAAAAGGAAAGAATAAAAGGAGAGGGAGTAAGAATTGGCCTATAATAGAGGAGGGAGATATATAGATAGAGAGGGGTAAGGGACCTAAGGGGGTTACGGTGGAATTTTATTTTATGGTCTAATTTTATTTGATGCTATATTTGGATTTACATTCTGTGCGCCGAGACGAGCAGATACATTGTTAATGCACGTAATAATACACTCTTAGTGTCTTTAATTTGGGGTCATTTGCATCTCAGCGAAAATAATCATGTCACGACACAGGTGAATTGTCACGATCTATCCTTTTTTTTTAATGTGAGAAACGGTACGATGTCATTTATTTTATTCATCCTGCCATCAACGGAATGAATTGTGATTGTCATTATCAATTAATCTGAAGACAACGAAATGAATGGGTCGTTAAAATAGACAAATGAATTATTCATTAGAAAAAGAAAAGAGAAGATAATTCTCTACTCCCGCTGTATTATGAAAATAATTTTAGTAGATCTTGATAGAAATTGTATTTCTTCCCTTTCTCTCTCTCTCTCTCTCTCCCTCTTCTCGCATACACAAACACACACGGATATACACACACACACACACACACACACACACACACACATATATATATATATATATATATATATATATATATATATGGGGGCGAGGTGTTTCTGTGTATTGATATAAAGAACTGCTAGTTTGATAATTCTCTATAATTTTAGTAGATCTTCATAGAAGTTGTATTTCTTTCCCCTCCCACTCTCTCTCTCTCTCTCTCTCTCTCTCTCTCTCTCTCTCTCTCTCTTCTCGCGCACACAAACACACACGGATATATATATATATATATATATATATGGGGTGAGGTGTTTCTGTGTATTGATATAAAGAACTGCTAGTTTGATAATTCTCTATAATTTTAGTAGATCTTCATAGAAGTTGTATTTCTTTCCCCTCCCTCTCTCTCTCTCTCTCTCTCTCTCTTCTCGCGCACATAAACACACACGGATATATATATATATATATATATATATATATATATATATATATATATATATATATATATATATATGGGGTGAGGTGTTTCTGTGTATTGATATAAAGAACTGCTAGTTTGATGATTCGAAGTTCTTTAGTATTTTTGTTTTTATTTTTTAAAAAACAGTGCTCGATACAGAAGTAGGGCCTAAATTTATAATTATTTTTTTAAAAATATGATTCCATCGCGACACAGAAATTACTATGTTTCGAAACTGGTCACCCGTATTCAAGTTTAATTTCAATATTAAACCTTAATTGTTGGATGACAGTTTCATCCTCAAGGTTCCAAACATCGCTTGAAGATGAAACTCTTTAAACTCTTAAAATCGTCGTTTTCATGTTTGTACAAATGGTCTTGGTCATGAAGAAAAAAAGTATGCTTTCCATCTCATTCTTCTGATAAGGTTTTCCGTTTATAGAATTAAATGGACGAAATAATCCCGTTTGTTTGTGGTAGGAATGTTCTTTAAAGATAATCCGAAATTGATTCTATCCATAGTATAAGAATAGAATAGACAGTGCTCGACAGTAATAGGAGCTAATATCCAAGTATAGGATTGATGTATACGGAATAAATTCCAATAACTAAAAAATGTTGTTCATGATGACGGTCGTCTTCGAGTATAGAATCCAGAGGTTAGCAGTGAATATTTCGAAGACAGTAGGGAAGCATTATTCAGGTTAGCAGTGGATATCCCGGTAAAGTAGCAGAGTGTAGTTCAGTAGTTCTTCCTTCTGTTCCTCTTCGCCTGACAAGCTGGCACTGGACATTCGGATAGAGTAAACAAAATGGCCGCCTTTATACACGACGGATTGAATATTCTACGTCTTCTGATTGGTTAACCTTCTATTGGTGGACTATAAAGTGAGTCAAGTCATTTGGGTTGGCTCACTAGTCTAATGTATCAAAAAATTGTAACAAAAAATACTATTCTTAAAAGAGTGCTCAATACAGAGTAGAGCAAATATATATATATATATATATATATATATATATATTTCTCTTTTTCTTTTTATGTTACTGTGTAGGTCTATATATTTATATTTATTTCTATGTGCATTTATATATGCATATGCGTATATAAGTATGTATATGTGTATGCATGTATATATATATATTATAAATTAATTGATTTAAAATATGTTTTTTCCGCTACACAGTTCTAACCATGTTTCAAAAGTGGAAGCTAAAAGCCCCGAATTTAATTTTGTAATTAAATTAAAGACATTAGTTCCATTTCATCCTCAAGCGAATTTTGGAGTAACTTTTAAAATTACTGGGTTTTAATTTATAATATTAATGTTCTGTAAATTTACATTGAGCACTATTTTGTAAAAATAAAAATATCTATAAGAACACCGGATTATATATCTTACTGTTCTTTCTTTTTATTTTCATATATATATATATATATATGTATGTATGTAGGTGTGTATTCATGTGCGTAGGTATATGTTTCTATTTGTAGTGATGAATGTGTGTACACATACGTATGTATGTATTTTTTATATATTGTTATATATTTGTACTCGTGCATGTGTACTCATGCGTATATAAATATATATGAGATATTTACATATATTTGTGTGTTTATGAGTTTTCTTCTTTATATATTAGATAGTTTTATTTCAAGTGTTACATTTTGCCTGGACATTTGAATTTGGTGTTTTTTTATGTATGTGTGTGTGAGTATATATTTATTTTTCTATCCATTTCTATATATTTTAGTGTCTTTTTTCTTTACGTTGTTCATTGACGAATATTTGTTTTTCTATTCTACTCCTATTTAGATAATGGACTATTCCGTTTTGATAGCGTGGAAAGATGAGATAAGACTCTATTTGGTTTCAGTAAGAAAAAGAGAGAAGGGAAGGTGGAAGAGAGAGACAATCAGATTAAGCTGATAGGAACAGATACTACACTTTGATCTCAGCCAAAATATTCGAGATCGATGGCGACCACATTAAAAGCAACATTTTAAAGATACACAGAGTCGAACGAGGAGGGACGGTGGAGTAATGGATAGCGGCTTGGATTGTGGAAGAGCCGAGTTCGAATTCCAGTCGAATCCATTATATTCACTTACGTGCTAACATCCTTGGGAAATGGTGTGAATCCTCTTCTTCTCCCTCCAGCTATGGGTAAATAGCAGGACAGACCGGGTTCTATAGCCTTGGATGGCAACTGGTCTAGGTGAAGGACAACTCTGAATTAAAAACCTGCGGAGGGTCGTTTGGGGACCTTGTGACACGTAGTACACCAGGTCTCTGAATTCGGCCCTTCAAAAAGTGTGGATGGTCCTGCACGAAACCTTCACCACTATAATCAAATCTCATGTGCTGTTGGTTTCCAGGGAACTGATATATACATGCGGGTTTGGGGACCGCTTGTGAATTCCAAATTCCATGAAACTCCAATATTGGAGCCGGCTCAACCCACCCTGGTTGAATGCCATTACACACGACACGACAGAGTCGAACGACGGAAACCGTAAGACAAAAAAAAAAACAGTTACCATGAATAAAGTAACACCGTCCGCTGAATTATTCTTAAATTATTAAGAGAAATATTCGCAAAATTTAGATAGATAGATATGAACACGCTGAGATAGATAGATATAGATAGATAGATAGATAGATAGATAGATAGATAGATAGATAGATATGAACAGACTGAGATAGATAGATAGATAGATAGATAGATAGATAGATAGATAGATAGAGAGATAGATAGAGATAGATAGATAGATATGAACAATTGAGATAGATAGATAGATAGATAGATAGATAGATAGATAGATAGATAGATAGATATGAACAGACTGAGATAGATAGATGAATGAATAGATAGATAGATAGATAGATAGATATGAACAATTGAGATAGATAGATAGATGGATAGATAATGAACAGACTGAGATAGATGGATAGATAGATAGATAGATAGATGGATAGATAGATATTAACAATTGAGATAGATGGATGGATAGATGGATGGATATGAACAGACTGAGATAGATAGATGGATAGATGGATGGATGGATGGATAGATGGATAGATAGATGGATAGATGGATGTGAACAATTGAGATGGATGGATGGATGGATGATGGATAGATGGATGGAGATGGATGGATAGATATGAACAATTGAGATAGATGGATACATAGATAGATAGATATGAACAGACTGAGATAGATAGATAGATAGATAGATAGATAGATAGATAGATAGATAGATAGATAGAAATGAACAGATTGAAATAGAAATGAACAAAAATAAATAGAGAGAGAGACAAAGAAATTTATTTTGTATGAAATGTTTACTTACTTGATTCCGTATCGTAGCACGATACACCAGCTGCGTTTTTCGCTTCACAGGAATGGGACTTGGCTCTGTCACACTGCATGATAGTGGTCTCTTGTCCTGTACAGCGCACGCCGTCCATCCAAATCAGATCTGTTCCGGCGGGAAATGTCGACATTGCCCGACCATTCCTTGACACCAAACGTAAAAAGAATTGGATACATAGAAATTTGAACTCCGCGAATAATTACAATATCGCCTGAAAGAAAGCATTTCGCATCGTTCCCATTGTAATGTCTCATTACACAGTAGAAATAAACCGCAAGTTCAGCTTGTTAACCATTACACCACAAGTAAAATAGTTTATCTTCTATTAATGTCTACAGTTTAATTTCCTCTAGGAATATTTATTAATATCTACAGTTTAATTAACTTTAGGAATATTTATTAATGTCTACAGTTTAATTACCTTTAGGAATATTTATTAATGTTTACAGTTTAATTACCTTTAGTAATGTTTATAATGTCTACAGTTTAATTACCTTTAGGAATATTTATTAATGTCTACAGTTTAATTAGCTTTAGGAATGTTTATTAATGTCTACAGTTTAATTTCCTTTAGGAATGTTTATTAATGTCTACAGTTTAATTTCCTCTAGGAATATTTATTAATGTCTACAGTTTAATTACCTTTAGGAATATTTATTAATGTCTACAGTTTAATTACCTTTAAGAATGTTTATTAATGTCTACAGTTTAATTTCCTTTAGGAATGTTTATTAATGTCTACAGTTTAATTACCTTTAGGAATATTTATTAATGTCTAAAGTAATTACCTTTAGGAATGTTTATTAATATCTACAGTTTAATTTCCTTTAGGAATGTTTATTCATGTCTACAGTTTAATTTCCATTAGAAACACAGTTCATTATGGGACAGTTAGCAAGATTTACAAATCATTCAAACTAATAACTATGAAAAATACATTCTGCTATTTCCACATAGGAATTATTTCCAGGGATGCCCATTTTTAATGCAGTATATTTACCAACATCATTTCTGATTTGACTCTTGGAATTTTAATGCCTTATTAGCCGTTTCCTCATAAGGAAACATTTGGCATTCATTAAAACAGCAGTAAGGGCTATTCAAGTTACGCTTTTCTTTGAAATACTTTCGCTGACAAAACATTTACCATCATCATTTCTGATTTGACGCTTGGAATTTTAATGACCATATTAGCCGTTTCCTCATAAGGAAACATTTGGCATTCATTGAACAAGCAGTAAGGGCTATTCAAGTTACGCTTTTCTTTGAAATACTTTCGCTGGCCGCACTCAAACTCGCCACGGGTTGGATGCGGCTCGAGATGCGTAATTTGCCAATCACTGGTTGACATCCTGAAGAGATATGACATTTTTTTTCATCCATTAAATGAACTATTCTCATTCCTGTCTTTCACATAAAATAGCTATGCTATAGATATTTTGATGCGTAAGATTAGATAATAAATTAAATGAATCTGCGGAGAGCCATAATCGCTTACGTCCTGATGAACGACGAATAAAAAACGCATTGCTGTTAGGCTATAATCAATGAGTGATTAAATACATTGCAATGGGTTGCGAGATATGGCTTCTAGACATCAGTTCCCTCGACACCCATTCACAGCTGAAAAAATAATTTCAAAAAATCTATATCATTGATTCTCAACCTTTTTTGCCACATATACTGATGAATCGGAATGTCACCCCCTCTACTTTCCAAGAGTGTCCTTCGCAAAAAGTGCGTTCCAAATAATATGCATATATTATTTCAAAATCTTCATTTTTTTCTATATTAGTAAATATACATGGATTATTTTTCTCGAATTTTACAAATTTAAGTTGCAATAGTTTTGTAATGTCAAAACGAACCCTTGTTGCCACTTTTATGATAACAACATGCACTTGCTTGATAATCGTCAATGGTAACGTAGTAGAGACCTTGTAATCGCAGACGCAACTATAATCCACCGTTGAACAATACTGGTGTTAGACGCCTTCGAATAATACTCGTACTAATAGTAGTTCGTATACTGAATAGGGTAGAGAATAGCGAACCGAATAGTATAGAGGATAGACTAGAGATAACGAACAATTAGACGTCACGCAACCCACCACTTATGCATTTCCCCCATGGTCACGTGGTCTACCTAATTCAATAATGGGATCGCCTGTGTTTGCTCACTGGCGATCTATGATCAAACACAAGTGTCGGCAGCGATATTTTATTCCTATATAACAAATAGAAAAAAAATTAAACTTGAATAAATGTACAGTAATTTGTTTTAATTCATGACTAATAATTAAATAAATGAACAGAAGCAGACATCAGTAAACAAAAAAGTTCAATATAATGCCAGGGTATTGTAATTCAATAAACAAAACGTTCAATAAAAGTTTAGGGTATTTAAATCGATTTTATTCTAATGAGGATTATAGTCAAAGAGAAACTTGTGAAAAAGTAAAAGATCCCACCCCTGAAATCCCACCCCTGGGGAAGAATTTGAGAACTTCTGATTAATTAATATAAATATAGGATCACTTTTATGACGACAAGGTAGATTAACAGAGTCGAAAGCATGATGCAATAGCAAAGTAGGTGTACTTACCTGTGTCCCATCATACGGCATACCACGCGAGCATCATTGTCATCCCAGTTTCTGCTGCACACCCCACCCCAGAGACCGTTTAGGAACAGCTCTACTCGACCCTCAGTTTGTGTACTTCCACCCCTTAACCTCAGAGGAACATGGTCATTGCTTTCTGCAAAGCAAAACAGTAATTTTGAAAAAGTACTTTCAAGTTTCTAAAGAAAAGTATTTCTGTATAGTTTATATATTTAATAATAATAATAATAATAATAATAATAATCGAGATTAACAAGATGAGGAGAATGAAGACTGAGACTGTACCAGTAGTAATCGGAGCTCTGGACCTCGTAAAAAAAGGAATGGACAATTTACTAACAATGTCCCAGGTAACATCAACATACAGGTTGCCCAGAAGATCGCCCTACGAGGGACATCCCATATATTATACTAAGGAAAGTGCTATAAATTAAATGACAATTCCCCTGAATCCGGCTCTACAGGATATAAAGCAGGAAACATTAAATACACAAATAATAATAATAATAATAATAATAATAATAATAAATGCTCTGAGGCTACACTAGGCAGGGCTCTCGTGACTTCTGATCTCAAATGATTGAAGCTAGTAACTTGCGCATCTTGTTTTGGTGAATTAAGATGACTTATCTTAAATACCGAATTTAGTACCACAGATTTGCCTGCCGTTAAGGAGTAAAGCAGGTCTTCTTAAGTGTTGGTATACTTTGCCTCTATATTCAAGAATGTGAGTGAGATGTAGAAGCATCATGTCCAGTTGCTGATTTTTTTTTTTTATTATTATTGAAAGACAAAGCAGCCAGTCTACTTGGGGGTTATATCTAGATACTAGGGAACATTCTTAATCAGAAACTGTTCACTGGGCTGTCCAAGCTGAAGGCATTCCTAACTGCAAGGTTAATGAGTACATCTGGCTGTAATGCATGTGCCTGATATACCCTTATCCTGATGGCTAGATTAGGCTTTGCCTATTTGTATCTCAGTATCACTTTGTTGATGTACCGATCACCTCATTGAATAATAATATTAAATGCCCTGATGTTATACAGGCATGGCTGTCATGGCTTATGATTTTAATTGATTGGAGGTGTTAACCTGCACATGATCTGTCTTGGTGAATTAAGATGAGCTACAATAAATATCCACTTCAGTAACGCCCTGATGCTACACCAGGTGGAATTCTCATGGATTTTTATCTTAATTTATTGGATATACAGGTTTTATCTTGTATATATATATATATTATAATGAATATTCATAATACTCCATGCCGACAGTACGACTTGGAGTTTCATGCTCTATGCAATCATCAGGTACAAATGAACTGGTCGTGATCAGGTTAATATTTCTTGGTTTCGCGGTGTTGGATAAATTATTACTATTATTAAATATTTAATTACACTACAATCTAAATTTAAAATTCAAGTTTACACTTCTAATTTCAATTTAAAATATGACCATCGTAGAACTCTAGAAGTTAAAAGTACGTTAAGTGTCAAGAGGGTAACTCTTTTTTTGCCTGGGGTAAGCCATTTATAAAAACAACAATAGTTAAGTAGTGATAAAATAATAGTAATAAAAACAATAGGTACGCAGTGATAAAATAATGATAATAATAATAATAGTAACATTATTGTTAATAATAATAGGTAATAGCAATAATGATGATAGATAATAGTAATATAGATAATAAGTAATAATGATAGGTAGTAATAACAATAATAATAATACGTTAACATGAATAATATAATAATAATATTAATATTAATAATATAGTAATAACAGTACTATTAATATTAATACGTATGGCGTCTGAATGTGAGAAAACTATATTAATCTGGGTAAGCGTGCTTGAATAGATATTTATTTCTATGTATGTATGCAATAATTAAGTCACTTCTTTTGTTTAACAAATTAGGGCTATCTATATGTTTTAGAATCACTAATTTTTCCGAAAGACATAAATTACATTTATCGCCTTTTCCGATGAAAGATTTCGTTTTTGCTTCGTAATCCCAGGAGATGATAGTTGGGTTTCTATTACCGCTTTTTATTTCCCAGAAAAATTCAGAGAGGGAAGTGCAGTTACAATATTTAATATTGTCTAATGTCATTTGGTAATGGTAGAAACGTGATTTCCAATAGTTTTCAGTTGAACCAAAATAGAATTTGACCTTGGGCCCGATTCTGCACTTGATGGCTATGAGGTTAGCTTCAAATTTAACTCGCTGGGGTACCTAGTTCTTTCAGTGTTCTTATGCGACATCAAGCCCAAAGTTTATTTTGGTATATCTTAGAATGAGCCCAGTGTTGACCATGTTCACCATAGTCTATGAATATAGAATACAGCGCAGTACGTAATCTGTTCAATGAAACAACGTTAAAGATTAACACTCACGAGTCAGACACTCTATTGAATCTGACTATATCGCCAATACCACCAGCAGCTGTTCCGTAATTCTTCAGTCTTCGATATCAAAGGCTGGCAGGGCATATTTAGCCACCCCGCCCACGAGGGTTACATGTGGCACAAGGCCGAGATTAACGTGGATCTCCGAGCCCGTAGACTCAGCCAAAAATATTCCCTATTCGAACACGTATAAACGGGTTCAGGGGCAGTCAACCTCCCCG